AGAGCCAAGAGTAACCCCTGAGCATCACCAGGTGTGACCCAATAAGCCAAAAAAAAAAAAGAGAGAGAGAAAGAAAAAAAGAAAGAAAGAAAGAAAGAAAGAAAGAAAGAAAGAAAGAAAGAAAGAAAGAGAAAAGAAAGTAAAACAAAAACCTATCATTGTCATAATGGGATCTTCTCTGTGACTGGGTTGTAGCAGCAATTTAAACCCAAAACAGTGAAGTTTGCATTCCTCTGTGAAGGAACATTAAATGAGAGAACAAAATAAAGACTAGTTATCAGTTGAAATGATTATAAGATCATGAGGATGACTCTTGGAGGCCAGAAAGATAGTACAGTCCATAAGCTGCTGGTCCTGCTCTGTGCTCAGGGTTCGCTCCTGGAGGGGTTCCTGGGACTGTATGCCATACCAGGGATTGATCCCAGGTCAGCTGTATTCAAGACAATCCCTGAGCACAACAGGGCATGCCCTGCTCCTGCCACTGTCCCCAAAAGGATCACACTTGGGGAAACAGATACTCTATTAAAGGAGGAATGCTTTTCAACCTACTCAGTCAGGAACTTTGGCTTTTTTTTTTTGCAAGAGCAAAACCATGACCTGGACCTCTCCCTGCATCCATCAGTTCTAATGTAGTAGCCTGAAGGTCTTTGGGTTCTTAAAACTCCAGGTGACGTAACTGTGTAGTTAGGTTTGGGAACTGCTGGAAAAAGATTAAAACGCAAGTTAGTTAAAAAAAGCATTTCTCAGGAGACAAAAAGTAGTGCTTGCATAGCCATTTGACATGAGAAAACAGGAGAGGGAATGGAGGGAGAGACACTTGGAGTGGAAAATTAGTAGAGGTTGTTAATCTATTATTCACAGCTGGGAATGTTAAGAGCCCTGAGAAAGAAAAAGTTGTCATGGCTTAATGTGGTGACAAAAGCTAATCCACACTGAACATATTTAATGGAAAATCCCGAGGCATTTTCTAGCCTTCTTGAATCCCATGTGGTACAATTCATTTTACATTTCATTGTAGAAGTGCTCAAGTGCTTGGTTGCAAGTGGTTGCCCACATCTTGCTGTGAATATACTAAGGAGAGGGTCTCTTCTGGGAATGTTGGAAATGTTGGACTCTGAAGCACATCCAGCCTCATGTGCCACATTCCAATAGGGAAGCATTGTGCTAGGGGAGGTCTGGGTAATGCACCGCTTATCAGATTCAGAGCTGTGTCTTTCTTCTCATCACTGGGGCCCTGGTTCAGCACTCACGTTACAGAGATCAGTCCCAGTATGTGACTCTCTGCTCGAACTCAGTACGTTTATTTGTGCCTCTTCCATGAAACTGGTTACATTTCAGAAAAGAGAAACCAATATGTGCCAATAACATAAGTAGATGGGAAATAATCATTGTCTGTGGACTCTTCCACTTTATAACTACCCCACATGTAATGACTTGAAGTGAGGCTGGAGAGATAGTACAAAGCCACTTGCTTTGTACACAGCTGACCCAGGTTCCATCTGTGGTATCACATATGGTCTCCCAAGCCCCACCAGAAATGATCCCTGAGAACAGAACCAGGAAGGAGTAAGCCCTGAGCACAGACAGATGTGGCCCAGAAATAAACAAAAACAAAACAAAACATCACACAGTTCCCCTCTGTTAGGAATTCAAGATCATCTTAGCCAGGTGGCTCTGTTAAGGTCTCTTGGGAAATTATTGTCACAGCTGACCGGGCCAAGACCTCATTCAACTGAAGTATGATTTGTGTCAGAGTACAGCACTTTTTCTTTTGTTGTGTGGGGTTTTTTTAGTTTGGGAAAACAAAGTTTGGGAACACACCTGGCATTATTCAAGGTACCACATGGTGTCAGAAATTGAACCTTGGGCCTTTATCCATTCATCAGTTGTTGGACATTTGGGCTATTTCCATTTCTTGACTGTTGTACTAAGAGCTGCAATGAGCATATATGTCTTTCCAAGTCAATGTTTTTGTATTTCAAGGGTAGATGCCAAGAAGTGGAATTCCTCCACTGAGGCAGACACATGGAAACTAATCTATTCCACATCCTGCCTGCATAAAAAGCTTTTGCATCCTTCCTAAACTACAGATGTTCAGGGAGTGTAGTGTAGTAATCTTACTGACTTTATGTAAAAATCAAACCAACTGTCCCCCACCTCCAAATTTAAGCTTCTTCTAAATTAAACTATGAAGACTTTTTGTTTGCTTCCTTTTGGAAGCAAAAGGAAGGCCACACCCAACAGTGCTCAGGGTTCTTTCTGGCTCTGCAATCAGGTATGACTCCTGGTGGGGCTTGGGGGATCCTATGCAGTGCCAGGGATTGAACCTTGGCCAGCCGCATGCAAGGCAAGTGCTTTAACACTCGTATTATCTCTCAGGCCCTAAACTATGAAGTTTATCTTGGCTTTCTCATCTCTCACTCATCATCTTCTTGGCTTTCCAGTGAAAAAATGCTGGTGCTTGGTTACCTAACCCTCCTGTCTGTCCCCCAAGAATCCTGAAAAGACGGAGTTTTTAATCCAATATTTTCCTTCTCTGGGATATTTCTATTTTGAACCATAATTCTAATTAGAGAAGGCAACCCTGAAACTCTTCCAAAGAGCATTTCAGAAAGCTGAAGGAGGGATGTGCAAGTGGGTTTTGCATGCGTCATTTCCCGCCTCATTTTCTTCCTGCCTCTGAGATACCTCAGGCCTTCCCATGTTTCTCTTGAATGGGGACACCATTGATAAGGGGCCTGAGACCATTTTCTTTTTAAGTGAAAAGACATGTTTTACTGCATTCAATAAATACCTGTGACAGCATGAAAAGGGAAGTCCTGAATGGAGTGGTACTACCTTATGCAAAATGTTTAAGATAATCTACCTTATGCAAAATGTTTAAGAAGAGTATAAAATTTTATGTAATGTGGCCCATTGTTATTCAATTGATGTTATTGACTCTCTGTACAATTATTTATCACAGGTTTGCTCACTCATCACTTCTATTTTTTCCCAGTTCTCTTTTTTTCGCTATATAATCTTCAGTGGCACCATTTCCTACAATGGGCATTTTCAGAGCACAAACTCCCAAGGGTAGAGAGGGCATGATTGTCTTGTCATTATTCTATAATATTCCTAGGTGTCTTTAGGTCTCATAGAATCAGTTCAACCCTTCCAGAGAATCTCCCTTTGATGGGCATTTGGGAAAAATCCCAGTCCTAAAGCTGCCTGGGAAAAACTGCCCTCTCCATAAGGAATGAAGTCCCAGCATCTAGCACATAGCTACTCTGGCCTTCCCACAAATGAATATAAATTAGATTCATTTTGATAGCAAATATTTTTTAACCTTGAATTCCCATGTGTCCCCATTTCAAATGTCACTGGCAGACCAGAGAGATCACATAGAGAGTAAGGTGCTTGCCTTGCAGGCTGACCCTGGTTTAATACCATCCCTCAAGCGTTGCTAGATACAGCCCTGGAGGCCATTAAGCACTGCTGGAGTGACCCAGGTAATCCCTGGCACTGGCAGCCCAAGTCGCACTGCAGCATAGAGCTGTGCATTGAACCGCCCTCCCTAAAGACTGAGAATTGCCAGGAGGGACCACAGGGCCTCCTGAGCACTACTTAGGAGACAATAAATAAATGAAAAAACATGTAAATAAAGAAAACGTTAGTGTGCCAGGGAGGCAGCTCAAAGGTCTGGGATGCGTGCTTTATATGCCAGAGCCCCAAGTTTAGACCCTAGCATCAGATGGCCCCCAGATCACTCCTGGGAAAGGGTCCAGACCATTGTTGATTGTGGCCCCCAAAATCAATGAAACACACACATGTAAACACACACACACACACACTCATTCACTCACACTATTCAAAATTTAAACAGATGTGTCCTACAGCAGAATATTCTTATATTGAAATTTTTACCAAACACACACATGTATTCTCTCTCTCTCTCTCTCTCTCTCTCTCTCTCTCTCTCTCTCTCTCTCTCTCTCTCTCCCTCTCCTTTTTCTGTCCCTGTTTTTGAAGGGAATATTTACACAAAGTGTGGGAGCAAGGAGAGTAAGTCAAGTAAAAATCTAGACAAATGAGCACTCGTCTGCATCCCACTTAACACACAAGACAAAAAGTCAACTTACTTTTATCTGGTGCTTTATCCTGAACAGTTGCTATGTGCTTGTCAGGCTTCGAGGGAACACTGGTTGTATTTGAGCAGAGTTCCAATTATAATAGGAATACCGATTTCAGCTTTCTAATATAAGCCATAATCTTTGAGGGATAATGTTTACTGTCTTTTCCATGATGTAATAATTAATAATTTATTATGTAGCTTTTCCAAGTGTCATATATTTGTGGGAGATGTCTCAGGGGTCAAACTCAGGGCCTGAGTGGTCCAGAGCGGGTCTAGAGGGTAGGGACTAGCCTTGTGATACACCCGTGTTTCTTCTATCCCTGACACTGTGGTTCCTCTGAACACCACCAGGGTTCACTCGTGAGCACAACAGGGCACAGCCTCACCCCATCCCCCCAGAAAGACCCAATTATAGTTATATTTTTAAGATCCACCCCTATTTCATAAGTACTAGAGTATTTACAGTGTAGACACTCTGGTAATTCTCTTAATTTCTTTTTGTCTTGTTGCCATACCCAGTGGTGCTCAGGGTTTACTCCTGGTTCTGCACTCAGGAATCACTGCTGGAGGATTTGGGGGGCCATATGGGGTGCTGGGATCCAAGTTAGGTAGGCCATGTATAAGCAAGCACACTACCTGCTGTACAATTGCTACAGCCCTTTTAATTTCTTTTTAAAATCAGTGTTTGTCATGTAATTTTGACCTGAAATTCCTATGCAGAGATTTTTCCATGTTATTAAAATCAAACAAAAAGCAAGAGCGACGGTAAAGTTAGCTGTAATTGCAACATCTCTTAATTTGGTTTCATATCTAAAAAACAAAGCATTTTCTTTTAATAGCTACATTTTTCTCCCTCTAATTTGATGTTTTTCCCCTATTTTATTAGATGCAGAGAGAGCTAGCAGCTGTTATTGCTCTGAAAGCAAGGAAGTCTGGTAAGTAGTCTTTTTCATGGGTCTGGAAGAAAGTTCTAATTCTTTGTGGATATTTCTTTGACAAGCTAGTGGATCTATCTCAGGAATCTTTGGTATTGAATGAAGAAAAATATCAGGTTGGTTTTAAAATCATTTATTCTATCATTGAAATGCCGCAGGGCATTTTATCTAGTTCTTTATAATACCACTGCCTTGGTGGCTTTTGATTTAAAAAAAAAAAAGGTGAAAATAAAAATTTTCAATGTAGACCAGGTAACGTAAAAAAAAAAAAAGACAGTGTAAAGTAAACAAGAGAAAGCAGATCCTTTTCTATTTAATAGGCTAATGATACCAGAGTAAGTAATACAAGGGTTATCTTTTGTTTTTTAAGTATATATCTATCTTTTATCTTGACATAGATACATCTAAATCTAATTTGTCTACTGACATTTAAAAGCAAGCATTTTTCACAGCACGATCTAGTGGACCTGATTTCTAACACCTGTAGGAAATGATCTGTGCTACTGATAGGTGGAAAGGAAAGGGGAGCTTTCAAATACATTTGCAAGAGAGAAAGCCATACTCATTTGAAATCCAATATGAAATAGAGACTCACTGAAGTAGAAAAATACTTGATTAGAAATGAGGTGTGGCAGAGACATCCTGCATGGTTGCAGAGGAGGAAGTTGGTACTGAATGGAATCAGATGGGAGATACCTCCTGGATGTTGCTGAACTATACAATAAGACTTTTTAGGTGAAAACACTGTAAAAAGATTTAGAGCTGACAAAATATGAAGAAATAAATGGAAATGCTTTGAGAACACAAACTGTACATGCTTAAGATCTTGGTTTTCTCTCCATTGCGTTCTGAAGCAAATATAAGTTAGCACAGATGAATTTGTTGTTGCTATTATTAATTTAATGCAGAGGATACATAAACCATATGCGAAAAGGGTGATGGAGAGGATGATGCAAAGAAAAGTGATTTGGGCCCACAGGGAATTGAGAGGCTGCTGTGAATAGACCTCTGTAGAGAACTGCATCAGTGAATTATTTGCAGAGATGGAGACCAAGATGGAAAACTGATCTCAACATAAAACTTCTAGAATGGGGGATCGGAGTGGGAATGCTGATCTTTAGTCTTGTAATTATATGGAGGCAAAATTTAGTGGGAATGCTGATCTTCAAGTCTTTTATATGGAGGCAAAATTTAGTCTGCACAAGTTGGAACTTACAGAAAGGATTTTGCCCAAGGAAATAGTAATCGTGTCATTGCTGGGGGGAACAAAAAGCAATTAAGTACAGACAGACTGGAAAGAGGGTTGGGTCTACAGAGACCTGGGAAAGCCTCTGAGCAAACACCTGAGGCCACTGAGGGTCAGCTCTCAACGGGAATTCAGGCAGGAGCACTCCAGGGATGGGCTGAATGCATGACAAGGGGAAAGGAGGTGGCATGTCAGGCTAACCTGTTTAAACCTTTCAGGAGGTGAAAGGAAATGGAGAGGACTAAGGAAGACATACATATGCGCGCGCGCGCGCGCGCGCGCACACATACACACACACACACACACACACACACACACACACACACACACACACACCTCTCACTGTAGACTGCAAAGCAAACTCCTTGGTGTGATTTCTAAAATCAGCATGTCGGTTTCATTATTTATTTCATCTGTAAAGTTTGAATGGGAATGGAACTTCTGCCACTTCTCTAGGACAGGGTAAAATGGTCTCATATACAGACATTAATGATGGAGATATAAATTCATAGTTTTTCAGGAAAGTCATTTTTCAAAGCCTTTTCAGTATCCCTACCCTATAATCCAGGCACTCTGTGACAGTGAGTCCAGCTGTCATGTATGTGAAATGCAGAGAGAAATCTATCAGTTGCATTGATTTGTAACAATAAGAGATTCTTTCAGTCTTTATAATAAAGAAATGGCAAGATGGCTAGTTTAATATAATGGAATGTGTTAAAGCGTTTAAAATATATTAAAGAATTAATGTAATAAAATGTTCAACGATAAAATGATATGCAATGAGCATGTATTGCTTCTGATTTTTATAATGGAAATGGCTTCATTTATTTTTTCTTACTATTACAACATGCTCACTAAAAAAAATAAACTTTTGTAATTTATGCATGTGCAGACAAAAAATTGAAAAGCTACCCATTGTCTCACCAACAGAGACAACCACTAATACTATTTTCTTGTGTATATTTCTAGACATTTCTCTTAATGTGTAGGTATTATATAATTTAATAATTGGTGGATTTTATAAAGTAGAATCATTTTTATGTGTTTTTTTGGTTTTTTTTTTTTTTTTTGCTTTTTGGGTCATACCTGGCGATGCACATGGGTTACTCCTGGCTCTACACTCAGAAATTACTCCTGGCCGTGCTCAGGGGACCATATGGGATGCTGGGAATCAAACCCAGGTCGGCAGCGTGCAAGGCAAACGCCCTACCCACTATGCTATCTCTCCAGCCCCCTTTATGTGGTCTTTTAATTTTAAATAGTTTGTTTACATGTAGTTATAAGAAATTACACAGAGATCCCATAATCTATTTACTCTGTTCTGACCAATAGTATCATAATCAGGTTACATGTAATCCCAATTATAATACAGTATCATAATCAGGTTATTGACATTGATTGAGAAAGTGCTTCCATCACCATAAAAGAGCCCTCGTGTTTTTCCTTCATGGATATAACAACTTTCCTCCTACCATCACTCATATCTTCTCTTTGATTCATTTCTTTTTCCTTAAAAACAAGGTATCAATGGAACCATGTAATGTGGAGCCTTTCACTAGCTATATACTCAAGATTCACTACTCAGGTTATGAGTACATCAAAATTTTTTCCTTTTAATTGCCAAATAATATTCTGTCATATGAAAACACAGGGCTGGAGCGATAGCACAGCTGTAGGGCGTTTGCCTTGTGCACAGCCACCCTGGCCGAGCTGGGTTCGATTCCTCCGCCCCTCATGGAGAGCATGGCAAGCTACCAAGAGTATGTCCCCCGCACAGCAAAGCCTGGAAAGCTACAAGCTACCCGTGATGTATTCAATATGCCAAACACAGTAACAACAAGTCTTAGAATGGAGATGTTACTGGGCCCGCTCAAGCAAATTGATGAACAATGGGAAGACAGTGCTACTAAGTCAATGAAAACACAACAGTATCTATTATCATCCAATCACTGAAGAACATTTGGATTATTTCCAGTTTGGGGCTAGCACTGTATTCTCAATATTCAAAATTCATGAGAAGGTTTTTGTGTGAACATAAGTCTTAATTTATATGGAATAAATGCTTAGAAATACAATATTGGGATTGTTTGGTATCTCAGTTCCTTTTTCTTTTTCTTTTCTTTTCTTTTTTTTTTTTTGCTTTTTGGGTCACACCCGGCGATGCACAGGGGTTACTCCTGGCTCTGCACTCAAGAATTACTCCTGGCAGTGCTCAGGGGACCATATGGGATGCTGGGATTGAAACCCGGGTCAGCCATATGCAAGGCAAACATCCTACCTACTGTGCTATCGCTCCAGCTTCATCATTGCTTAATTTTTTAAGAAGCTTTTCCATAATGACAGTACCATTTTCATACTCACTAGCCACTTTTCAAGAATAAATTGTTTATTTAAGCTTTATTATTGAGGCAGAAAAAAATTTTATTGGAGTAAAATAAAATAGTATTATTCAGATAATGGTTTATAGTAATATTAATATTTATGCTTTAGGTATATAGTATTACTGCTACACCTACCCCCAAAGTGCAAATAATGATTTATACACATGAGTTTCTGAGATATGAGCCATTGGGTGATTTCATCATTGTACAATTATCAAATTATAATAACAGACCTAGGACCTCATTCGTATTGCCTACAACACACCCCAGTTATATGATAGGGCCTCTTGGGATCATTATTGTATGTTGGTTCTTTGTTGACTGAAACATTGTTAAGCATCACATGACAATATAAGTGACCAGGGTTCTCTGTGTTCTTGTCAACATTTGATATTGTCACTATTTTCAGTTTTAAAAAATTAATTTTAGCTATTCTAATAGATTCTCACCTATGTTTAACTGGGGGCGGGGGAGCTTGGGCCACAGGTGCTTAGGACTTTCTCCTGGCTCTGTGCTTAGGAATTATTCCTGGGAGTACTTAGGGGACCATGTGGTATGCCAGGCGTCTAACCCTGGTCAGACATGTGCAAGGCAAACAGCCTAACAGCTGTAGTATCTCTCTGACCCAGTGTATATTCTTGATCAAAGCCTTTTGAATATTCAGTGGAAATGTTCTCCTAGTCTATAGCTTGTCTTTTAAATTTTCTCTTTTTAAAGTCTCCACCAGTCTTAAATTTTAGTAAAGTCCATGTAATTTTTACTGTGTCATGCCTCTGGCTAGCCTTGGATCTCAAAGATTTTCTATCAGGATCATTTGTTGAAAAGTTCATCTTGTTCTAGATGACTGGTTAAAGAAACTTTGGTACATCTACACAATGGAGTACTATGTAGCTGTTAGAAAGTATGAAGTCATGAAATTTACATACAAGTGGCACTACATGGAAAGTATCATGCTAAGCGAAATGCGTCAGAAAGAGAGGGACAGACATAGAAAGATTGCATTCATCTGGGGAACATAAAGTAACAAAATAGGAGACTAACACCCAAGAATAGCCGAGATAAATACCAGGAGGTTTACTCCAGGGCTTGGAGACCAGCTGCACACTCTAGGGGTAAAGGCAGTTCAGATAGAGAAGGGAGCACTAAATAAAGGGTACTGGGAAGATCCGCCCCGGATGGGAGTATGCATGCTGAAAGTAGACTATAGACTGAACATGATTGCCAGTCAATTCCTCTTCTGCAAACAACAGCACCCAAAAGGAGAGAGAGAACAAAAGAGAGTGCCCTGCCACAGAGGCAGGGTGGGAAGGGGGGATGGAGGGTGGGAGGGATACTGGGATTAGTGGTGGTGGAGAATGGGCACTAGCGGAGGG